TTACTTCAGTAGTGTACAACCCCCCCTTTCAGAAATTCCTGGATCTGCCCCTGAAGACTGAGACTCAAATAGAGTTATTATTATAATTATTATTACTAACTACTTTCTAAACCTTTTGTTTATCAGTTATGCATAGATGCATGATATATCGCAACCAGTCCCAATGTATGCTCATATCTTAAACTTTGCTGATATGGTATCCAATACAGTATAGGACACTAAGTAGTTTCAAGAAAGGCATTAGAAAAAAGGACACTGGGGAGCTTGCCAATTAGTTTTCGTTTTAACTACTCATTAACGCATCTGCTAGACTCCAACTAGACTACAAGTTGCCCCCGTAGGGCTTTGGTCCCAAGGCCAAAGCCCAAAGAGGCATTATAGTGGTCCCCATGTGATATATAGATTGAGCCAAGCCTAAAAGGGGAGCTCTTGTTAGTTTATTGGAATGATATCAGAATCAATTTGAAAGCAATCATAAACCAAAAAGGATCTCTAAAAATATTTTGGACTTTGTCTTGTGCTGATTTTCATTGGCCAGAATTCCATGAACTCTTTGATCCTGTGAAAAAACTATCTGATACACAAAGAAGAGAAAATGTAATTAATAACCATCATTTACTTGATTGGTTATTCACTAAGCATACTGAAGCATTTGTCAAATACTGGCTAAAAAAAAACTCTTGGTGCAACTTGGCACTAGTTTAGGTATGAATATGCTGTTCAGAGAGAAACAATCCATTGTCATGGTGTTACAAAAACTTAAAAGTGATCCAGATCTTTTTGCCCAATCTCAAAAAGCACCAAGGGGTTACCTCACAAGCAAATCATTGGAAACTAGTGGCCCACACAGCTTTTCAGAGGAGGAGCCATTGCAAAAGAAATGGTTAATTAAACAAGGCAACAAAGCACAAACTGCTATTGGTAACTTTGCAGTTTACCTTATGTCAACCCAGCATCCTCATAATCCTGATCATACTGATTGGATAAAGCCAACACTTCCTCTATGCAAAAAGCATCATGAAGATGTCTAACAGGAAGAACTGGATGAAGATTATAAAAACTTTCTAAATTTAATTCAAAGGCATACACAATGTTCAACTGCTTATTGTACTCATAAGAAACAACAGAGTGACACATACTCTTGTAGATTTGGCTTTCCAAAAGATTGCTGTGAAAAAACTCATTTAGAATTTAAAGAAATTCACACTAAAGATGAAACAATGAAACACACGGTAAAAGAACTCACAAAACGAAATGATACTCATCTCAGTAATCATCAGCGCTTCCAGTTACAAGGTTGGAGAGCAAACTGCAACATACAGGTCATTATAGACTACCATTCTTGCTTAGAGTAAATTGCCAAATATGCCTCTAAGGGTGAGAAAATATTATCAGTTGATAGAGATGTTTTTACTTCAATGCTGAATGAAACCTCATGTGTCAGTGATAATAGTGGAATTATCAAAAGTTAATGATGAAAGCTGTTGGACAAAGAGATATGGGTATTCAAGAAGTTATGCACCAACTCCTTTCAATAAAATTTGTGAGTTCATCATTCCAGATAATTAACCCTTCCCTGATTGGTTTGTGAAAAATTACAGTTGAAACAATTCACTTAAAACAGAATCATCCCTTCTTGACTTGCTTGCAAGTAGAAAGGTGAATGAATGTGATTTTCCTGGCATATCAGCATTGAATTTTGTACAATTTGCATCTAACTTCTGTAAGGGTAAACATGGTGTAACGCAAGAAAATTATCTATTGAAATTAAAACATACCCAAGTTATCCATCAAATCCAAAAAGACCTTCATATGATTTGTTCTGTAAAAACCAGTTACTGAAGCATAAACCTTGGCATACTTTCATGAACAATTCTTGGGGAGACCAAGATGGGTCTGATTCTGTTTACATTCAGGAGTAGCATTCTTTTGTAAAGAAAACTGAAGCAAAAATACTCGTTCCAAATTGGTCTATTCAGCTAGATTTCATTTCACAACACATTAAACAGACTATTTTAAATGAAGATGATGTAAATGAGAGACAAACTGGTGAGAGAGAAAAATGGATGTGTCTTGCTGACCTTACATCAAACTGTGATTCAAAAAATGACAAAACTACTACTGTTCCAGATGAATACTGGAAAATGGGTTGAGCAAAATACACATCACAAGATTGGAGATATGCCTTATTGGATTAGTAATCAGAAAGGACCGAGGAGAAACTTAGATGTTAAGGACAGAGATCTAGAAATAGAGAAGGGTCAAGCAGGGCTTCCCTAGACTGAACAGCTATATATATATATATGCTGATATATATTCCCAGCCTCTAAAATTAAAAAATTTCAGAATTTTAGAGGCCGGGAACATGTCTTTTTTAAACAGGAAAAATAGTTCAACTGTTTAGATAACACTAGTTAAATCTTCTACCTCGTGTTGTACATCGATAGATAAGACAGACCCTGGCGGATTAGCGTGAAGTCTTTTACTTAAACTGTAAGAAAGTAAGAAACACATATTTAATGATGTAAAATTGTTGCTTTTATTTGAGTTCGTCTTTTTAACAGAATGTATTTTTTTGTAAATATCATTTGTAAATGAGTAAATAAAGGAATGCTATGTCTAAAGTATTATTAAATGACAAAAATACACGAGATTTTTTATTTTTAAGCAATCAGAAAGGTGTTTTTTCATAGGGAAGTAAAAATACTAATGATTATCACTGGAATAGTTGGGTCTGGATAAAGCTATGTAATAGATTCAATCAGTGATTTGCTAAAGAATTCATTCAAAGTCTCCACCTTCTTTGGAATTGAAGCATTTAATGTTGCATTCAATCTAATAACTGCCTATAAAAATGGCCAATTAAAGTCCTCAGCATTGTAAAAATTGCAAAATAACTTAAATGGTGTTCAATATCTATTTAATGATTAATTTTCAGTAATTGGGCAAAAAAATGTTCTCTTGGATAAAAAAAAGAAGATGGAAAGAAGCAAATGGCCTAAATACACACCCTTTTGGAGGATTATTAGTGATATTCATAATATTGGTTCGAGATGTTGCTCAACTTCCTCCAGTAACAGACCAGGTCCTTCACCAAAACAAGCCAAAAAATGACATGGCTGTTGAGAGTTACTCAAGTTTCAAACAGTTGTCAAGTTGCATGAAAATGTTAGAGCTGAGGGCAATGACAGTAAACAAAACTTATTTAGGCAACTACAGATGTGAGTAAGAGATGGTCACTCATCTTTAGAAGATTGGGAATTACTTTTATCAAAAAACCCTACTAAAGTTGAAAACTTGCAAAATTTTGAAAACTGTGCTGTAAAACTTTCATTTGAAAATGAGAAAGTTGCCAGAGATCTGTAATCCATATAGATGCCTAACATAACAACAACCAAGCAAAAAGTTTAAGTGCAGAAGACATGGGAGGCTTAAAGCCTAGAATTTACCTGTCAAAAAATGCTGGAGTTATGCTTACATGCAATCTGTGGACTGAAGTAGGTCTTTGTAATGGTGAAGTAAGAACAGTTCTTGATGTAATTAATACTGATGGATGTATACCACCAACTTTGCCAGTTGTAATCATTGTTCAGTTTGATGAGAAGGATTATTCAAGACCAAGTTTTTGTACTGACATTCTAAACTGTGCTCCATTGTATCAAGTGACAAATTGCTCTGATGCTCTCAGACTAAAATTGGAAAGGCAGCAGTACCCTCTTAAGCTTGCATGATCAATAACCATTCATAAAGCACAAGGTCTTACACTAAATGATGTATGGATAGATTTAGGTCCTTCTGAAAGAGCAGCAAGACTTACATACACATTAACCAGATTTTGTGAAATTTTTAATCTTGTTATAAGAACCAGTGACCTTTGATGGACTGAAATCCCTTTTAAAAACTTCAAATTATAAATTCAAGGTGTTAGAGAAAACAAGATTAAATAATTTGAGCAAAACACAGTAGCATCTTTAAGGCAATGATATATGTAGTGTGTTCCTCCCCATTGTCCCCTGCATCACTGTCTAAAACAGGTGAGTGGCACAAGTTTGTAAAACTGAAACAACACAATTTTGTATGCAAATGATGGTGAAAAAATCTTGGCATCTACCATGGATTGTTATAGCAACTGCTGACAAATCAACACAATTTACAACACTTCACAATGAAAATCTCCAATCAACTGCAAAAAAAATCTGTTTTCTACAGCATAAGCATGTCTTTATGTTCTCCATTTCATACACGTCCCCTTGACACTTACACGCATCTCTTCTAATATCAACAGTCTTCATTGACAACTGTACATACACGTCACACAGACCAACAAAGCAAAGCAAGCTCTAACCTCTATTTTGATGTAACCGTTCAAATTTCAATTGATGAGTTCAAGGTGGTTTGAGTAATGCACCAAAGAGGAGAAGGGTCGAAACGTCAGCTATTTGTTGACAAGTTGCATAACCAACCTGTCAAGCTATCAAACCTTCAGTCAGCATCTTCCAGAGCAATATTCTTCAATAAACGCACATCAATTGAAAACATTCCATTCCACAAAGTCAACCTCAGATTCTCTCCAAAACAAGCATGTGAAGTCACCAAGATTGACACACCAGACATAAAATGTTTCCTTTCCCAGAATCAAAATAAATATTTATGACTCTGTTGCCATTCACATAGCAACAAGAGAAAATTAGGAGAAGCATTCTTATGCACGATCAATTAATAATGTCAGTAAGAATGTTACAGTTCACTGTTTTTACATATTGTTGGAAATTGTTTCACAGCAAAGAATATCATAAGAGTTTCAAGTACCAAATTGTACAACTCGAAATGTTTCAGTCAATAAAATATCGCCTTTTCCAGCTACTTAACTAAAGTTTAGTCACAAAAATGTAACATTTGCCAGTACTTTACTAATACAAATATCTTGATCATTTTGTTGCCATTTTCACTTCACAACAACAGATGTATACAACACTTTTGTTAGTAACAATGTTGCAGTTAAAATGTTTTTTCAATATGGTAGGAAACATTTCATCATTTCCTCACAACAAGAATATAAATATAGTTTCATATGATGTTTCAAAAAAATGCTACAGTTAAGAAACATTCTTTTACAGTAAAATTAAGCTATCATCAAACTGAAATTTAAAATTTCAAAAGAAGCTCAGTGGTTTGATTTCTTTTAAAATTTATTATAGTATATCTAGAATGCACACCTAGAAAAGGTGATTTTTGTAGCCAAAAAACTTGTTATCTTGAGAACAAGGTTTGTTGCTCATGTTTTTTGTGTAAATTAGTAGTTTTTGAACAACTGATTAAATTGTGCAGTAATGTGAATATGTGGTTCATCGCTGATTTGCCTCAGGCAGGAGGGGGGGGGGTCCCTTGCACATGACTCCCTTGGGCAGGAAAGGGTTAAGAAGAAACTGTCTGTGGAAAAACCCATAGTGAAAGGTTACAACTTTTATAAGTCTGGTAAAGTATTTGGGTTATATAGCAAAAGTGAGAATGGACTGTTCTTCATCAAAAGCCAAGTATTACCTTCACATTCCAAGGCTGGACCAGCATATACTGTAAAAATCATGATAGGCTCCATACTCTTAGATTCAGAGAGTATTTTGCCCTTGTCCAACTGGGAATGATAGATGCTGTAACCACCTAGCTGCCACTTTATTTGGTATGGAAGACATCTTCAACAAATCAGCCAACAATAAACAGACTCTAAGTGACCAGCTTCCTTGCATATCAAAACCATGTACTTGGAATGTCTCAAGTAAGAGAAAGCATGAACCAACAGTTATTTAAGAAGTTAAGTTTGAAAAGCATGTTTATGGTAAAAAAAGGAAAGATGACAAGGCTTCAACTAACATTACTCCTAGTGAACTGGGTGCTTCTCACAAACAACAGCACAGTGCAGATTTCAAATTTATTTTTGAAAAGATTAAAAACATAGAAGAAAAAACAGGAAAAAAATTGGACTCTCTTGTATCATTCCACATGCCCTTCCTCAAAATGCTATACCTCTGGATGAAGTTGAAAGCACTGACAGTGAGATGCCATCTAAGTGGGACATAGTATCCCCTACTAAGTGTGCTCCACTTTCAATGATAGACATAAAGCAAAGGACACTCAGATCCAGAGGGAGGTTATATAACTCTGTCAAGGAAAGAAATGTAACTGTTGAGGAAACAAAAGGTCAACATGAAACAAGAACATGGTTTGATGTACCAAAACCATGCAGAACTGCTTCACAGTGCAACAGATGTTTGTTAAAGCCAACAACAAGCCCAACTAAAGCTGTTTCAGAGGTGCTTTTTTATTCTAAGCTAGTACAAACTAAAGCCATTAGAGATGGTATTGAATCAGAATAAAGTATCATCCAAACATTTGAAAATGAGACTGTCCAGAAGGTACACAAGTCAGGTTTTTTTCTATTAGGTGTGTCTCCTGAGAGAGTCATGAATGACAGCCGGATTGTTGAAGTCAAGAAGATTGTATTGAAGGAGGGAGAGTCTCTTAATAATGTCTCAAAATGAGGGAAATTCAAGATGGCGGGCACGCCACTGAGAGCTCCGTGTCTTGCTCTCC